CATTAAACATAACATAAAATCCCGAATCCCACCCATCCTTTAAGAAGTAAGGGTTCTTCTTATTCTAGGCCGGGTGGTGCTGGGCTTAGTGTCTCTCCCCCAGATGACATCAGATGGTAATGGAGGAGGGCTCCAGAAAGGACCCAAGGTGGCTCACAGATAAAATAATTTTAAAAGCTTTACAATAAAAACTTTTAAAACCCCAATTAAAATCAATCCATTTGCTAGTCCCAGTTGGAGATGACCCATTAAACAAATTACTGAATAGCAAATCAGCACTTGGGCAAATCCTGCTGATTCAATGGGTATATTTTAGTTGCCACTGACTAGCACCTCAGGTTTAGGCTACAACCCTTTGCACACTTGCCTGGACATAAATCCCCTTTGAACACTGTAGGGCTACAGCTGGAGTAAACATGCTTAAGTCTTTACTATACAATTTAACGTACAGGTTGAGTCTCCCTTATCCAAAATGCTTGGGACCAGAAGAGGTCTGGATTTTTTTTGGATTGTGGAATATTAGCATATACATAATGAGGTATCTTGGAGATGGGACCCAATCCTAAACACAAAATTCATTTATGTTTCATATACACTTTATACACATAGACTGAAGGTAATTTTATACACAATATTTTTAATAACAGAAAGTAAAGGTGTCCCTAACTCAGCCACCTGTGGATTGCTTTTGGCTTTTGGGTTTCTAGATCAGGGAGACTCAACCTGTATTACCTAAAACCTTAGTGTGTGTATGTGCCTACTGGGATAGTAATGATATCTTTCTTTACCAACTTCCATTGGTTTGCTGTGGAAAGATGGGGAACCTATCACTCTCCTGAAGCTTTGGGCCACAGTTCCTCCAGTCCTTTGCCACTGGTCATACTGGATGGGACTGATGGGAGTTGAAGTCCAAAACATTTGGAAGCCAAAGGTTATACATGCCTGCTTTAGTGCTTTTTTAAAAAAGCTCTGCATGGTAAGCAGAGAATGGGGTGAGCAAAGATTTCTGTGGTTTCATGCCACTCAAATCTTTACAAGTTGAATGTCTAACTTGGTGTGCTTTTAAAAATGTGGGGCTTTACCAGAAAAGAGTAGAAACTCTGAACAGCTTGCCAAGAGGGGATTTTATCTGAGGCAAATTTCCCATGCCCCTACAAAGCAAAGCATCACCTGGCTCAGCTCCAGTGCATACCTGTTACATTGTCACCTCACATTGCTCTTCATGTGTGGGCCCTTATTTGAGGCAGTATTAGGGTCCCTCAATGTCACACATGCCCTTGGTCTTTGACTCTCCGATTCAGTCCTGATGGTTGTCAAATCATCTTAATAACTGGGAAGTTTGCCACTGTGATTAAGCATGTTGTTGAAATCAGCATTCTGTAGTCCATGTTAGTGTGAATAGAACTAGAATAGTGGTAGCTTTTCTCAATTAGGTAACAAGATACATAGTAACATTTCCACTTTCTCAACCCAGTTCTCTGTATCCATTGTGCTGTCCCTGTAAGATGTCAGAAAGGAAAAGACAAAGTAAAACAACAAACTGTTTACAAATTACTAGCCAAAAATATTGCTAGGTTGTTTATATAATTATACTAGGTTGTTTAAATAATGGATTCCTTTGTATATATAGTATATACAGATAAGTTATTAATAGCACACCGATGATGATTAAAAAAAACTCAAAGGCTTGGGAAGCCATCCTAATTTGCTTGCCTAAAGATGATTTTAAATGGCTAGAAACACCAGGCAAATGACTTTTTCCAAGCATTTGCTAAAGACAGCTAATACAAGGGAAGAGTTGAATCTCTATTTCTAAAACATTGCACTTGTGTTTTCAGAGTAAGGGTGTATGCATAAGAAAATATATATGAGAAAGAATGGTGAAACATTGTATTAAGTATTTCTGTGGAACATCTGTTCATGTCTTATTACTGTAATGTTAATCTATCTGTGTACTCTGTAATTTTAGAAGCAGTTTTCATGCCTCTTGGTAGAGTTTTATTACCTAGAGTAAATGACAAGAATTCTCTAATAACTTTGAGATGCAGGGAGTGAAACTAATATAAATGTTTATAGATTCAGTCTGTTTCATCAGATGCGTCTGAATTAGACTGAGTCTGTGAAAGCTTATGCTACAAATTTATTTCTTTCAGTCTCAAAGGTGCAATAATTGGATCCCTTTGTATATACAGTATTTATGCTCATACAGACTAACACAGCTGTTTCTTGAAGTCTAGGAAATTATTAGCACAATAGGCAAGATACGTTGTATGTTTGTGGGTAAGGTTGATTTGTAAGATTGGCAATTCCATAGCATTGTCTTCTTGTTTACAGTAGTTTGGTGAACTGGCTTTTGAGTAGCAGTATACTGCACCCGTCGTCATAACATGTTCCTTGGGAAGGCTGTTGGCAGGTGTTAGGAACCTGCAGCCGGCAAGATGTTGGGCTGCAACTTCCATCAGTCCCAGCTAGCCTAGCCAGTCTTTGAGATGAGGGAATTTGTAGTCCAGCAAAATCTGGGGGGTTATGGGTCTCACATCGCTGCTCTGTGGGAAGGCTTTTTTAACATCAGGACTGGAGTCAGTATGCCAGACCTATGCCTCTGTTTTCCTACTACCTAACTCCACCTTCTTCATAAATGGCAAATGTATATTAATTAGCAATAACAAACCTACTGTGTAATATGATTTGTAGTTGTTGTTGCTGTGTGTCTTCAAGTCATTTCCGACTTATGGTAACCCAAAGACCAACCTATCAAGGAGTTTTCTTGGCACATTTCTTCAGAGGGGGTTTGCCATTGCCATCTTCTGAGGCTGAGAAAGTGTGACTTGCCCAAGGTCACACAGATGGTTTCATGGCTGAGTAGGGATTCAGAATCATAGTCCAATGCTCAAACCACTACACCACACTGGCTTAAAGCATTTCACTACCACCACCATGTGAAGCATTAGGCTACTTAGATGGATAGAACATGAAATACATTTATTTGATTAATATGTTTGAACAAGTAAATTTTCCTAAATTCTTAGGAGAGTAAGTATGCAACAATCTAGGCATTTAATAAATTAAAAAGTAAAACATAAGTATAAAATATATTTACCACACACACACACACACACACACACACATATATATATACACTTACACACATACACAATTTTTGTTTTGAAGTTGGAGTCTGTATATTTCTACCCACTTTGGCTCCATCCAAAATTGCTTCTGATGTTACAACTCAGACTCTAAAGCCCTGATGTACATATAACGTCTGACTGGCTCCCATATTTCATCTGGAACATCTTTTCCAGTCTAATTGAATTGTGTTTGGCAATATTGATGGATGGATGTGCTGGTTAATGGGTTTGTGTAGTTTACGTGTTATTTGAATACCTAAGCTTGGAAAAAAACTTGAATAAAGACTTGAAACAAACAAGGTATTGAAGTTTTAAAGAGAGTTACACCAAGTGTTCAGTAGAGTTGTGTGATCAAAAAGATATATCTGAGTACTTTGAGAAACTAAATCTGCAAGCTTATTTTAAAGGGGTCCTAGATGGAACTAATTTCAGAGTAGATGTGGATAGAATCATCCCTCACAGCTAAAATAATGTGTGCATTAAACCACAAAGGGATTCATGAGCTGTAACTAGTTAATTCAAATAGTTCTTCCAAATGTACTCTGGTGGTAAACCAAGTTACGATAAGGTTTGTGATTTATTTATTCAGAAGTTAGCTATATTTTGAAAGGTTGTTTCAATAATAAATTAATTAATGTATGTAAACTATATATGAACTTAAATTATCCCATTCAGGAAAATGGATTTTCATATTTAAAGCAGGGCATTATTTCTGTAATTGTTTTAATCTTTGCTGTTACCCGCCTTGATCCTCAACAGGGAGAGGTGGGATACAAATAAATTATTATTATTATTATTATTATTATTATTATTATTATTATTATTATTATTATTATTATTATTACCACTACTACTACTACTATAGTTATTTGGCATAAGCTTTCTTGAAAAGCAGCCGATTTTGTCAGATGTAAGGGCCAGACCAAACAAAATCTCTAAGTCTTTAAAATGCCACTAGACTATAATTTCAAATGAGAGCCTGACAACCATTATTGGATGACTTTTACTTGCAAACTTATGTGCCCTAATGCCACATACTTGCATATTTACCAGCCAACACTGGCAAGATTCTAATAACTGTACAGTTATTGCAGAGGCTCAAAATTATTTATTACTGAAGAATTTTCACTGTTGCACTACATGGAACAAGCAATGAATTGGTTGTATCTTTCACAGGCAGAGCCCTTCCTCTCAGCTTAATTCAGTTCTGCACCTGTTGCATTGGTGATCCTTGTAGAGCATCTTGTGTTCTGGAGTAATACTTAGTTGTCCCTTTGATACTGGAAGCTAGTTGTGTAGTGGTTATAACAGAAAGTTTTAGATGGTGTGGATGTGTTCTCAGTGTATGGATGTTTTTTTTTTTAAATAACTCTTTATTGTAATAAAACCTCATAATCATATCAACACCACTCACTTTAACATCTAAAACACACTTGGACATCATCCATGCTGTACCTCCTTCCTATTACCTTTAAATCTAGAATGTTATAAAATAACAATTACTACTACTGTACTCTATTATCTTATGCATCTAAGTATCCCAATGACATGTCACATCCCATCAGTTTTAAGCGACAAGAAAGAGACAGCAACAGTGTCCACAATACATTAATAAATATAATATAACCCTTATGCAGTTGGGCTGAGGATTGGACTATGACTCTGGAGAGCAGGGTTCAATTCCTCACTCAGCCATGAAAACCCACTGGGTGACCATGGGAAGTCACACTCTCTTACATCTCAACCATCCTGCCTTGCTTCCTTTCCTATCAGGATTTTCTTGACAAGTTTTTTCAGAGCAGGTTTGCCATTGTCATTCTCTGAGGCTGAGAGAGTGTGACTTGCTCGGACTCACCCAGTGAGTTTACATGGCAGAGCTGGGATTTGAACCCTGGACTCCAGAGTCATAGTCCGATGTTCAAACCACTACACCATGCTGGCTGGCTCCCCACAATTGCATTATATAGTATTCTAGGCCACCTTGTTCCTATCCTTCATAAATTGGCATTTTGCACCTTCTCCTATTGCTTTGATATGGCTACAACAAGGATATATCTGTGGGGTCAAGGGGGGGGGGCAAAATTAGGATGTTTGCCCCCAGTGAAAATTCTGCTATGAGCCAGTTTGGAGTAGTGGTTTGAGTACTGGACTGTGACTCTGGAGAGCAGGGTCCAGTTCCTCGCTCAGCCATCAAAACCCACTGGGTGACCTTGGGGAAGTCACACGCTCTCAACCTCTGGGGAAGGCAATAGCAAAACTCCTTCTGAGCAAATCTTGCACCATGATAGGCTCACCTTAGGGTCACCATAAGTCGGAAATGACTTGAAGCCACACAGTAACAAAAGAATTCTGCCCCCCCCCCGCCGAATTTTTCCCTCAGTGCCCAGATTTCTAACATTGCAAAGAGTGAGACATTGAAAATACTCCGCACACACAACTCTTCTGTTTGCTGTGTTCTCTTTCCCTTGGTAAGAACCAGTGTGGCGTAGTGGTTTGAGCACTGGACTATGACTCTGGAGACCAGAGTTTGGTTCAGTCATGAAAACCCACTGAGTGACCTTGGGCAAGTCACACTCTCTCAGCCTCAGAGGATGGCAATGGCAAACCCCCTCTGAACAAATCTTTCCAAGAAATCCCTGTGAAAGGCTTGCCTTAGAGTTGCCATAAGTCAGAGATGACTTGAACACACACACACACATTCTCTTGGTAACTTTTGCCTTATCTTTTTATTTGGATGCTTAATCTGTATTTTTAACGCTCTTGCAATGTTAGAAATGAGAGCCAGTGTGGCGTAATGGTTCAAGTGTTGGACTATGTCTAGAAACCAGGGTTTGATTCCTGGCTTGGCCATAGAAACCCGCTGGGTGGCCTTGGGCTAAAGTCACACTCTCTCGGCCTCCTCAGGGAAGGCAGTGACAAACCTCCTCTGAACAAGGATTGCCTTAGGTTGGAAATGACTTGGAGGCAGAAAACACACACAGACACACACAAAATGTTAGAAATTTGGGAACTGGAGGGAAATTTCATGAGTGAGAGGGGAGCATTTTTATTGGAGAGGTTCTCGGAAGAGCAGGGTTCAAATCCCAGCTCTGCCAAGAGAACCCACGGGGTGGCCTTGGGGCAAGTCACACTCTCTCAGCCTCAGAGGACGGCAATGGTAAACCTCCCTCTGAAGAAACTTGCCAAGAAAGCCCCGTAATAGGGTCCCCATAATTCAGAAATGTCTTGAAGGCACACAACACACACACACACACACTGGCGCCCCCTTTTTCCCCCCAAACAAATACCTGTCAGCTTTCCAAATACACAGAACCATTAGTTAGTCTAAAAGGCTTCATTTTTTTAGCGACATCCCTCCCTACAAGTGAGTTAAACCACTTTAAAACACAAACTAATCCAGTCAGGTGGGACAGGGACACATTTTTGTGACTGGTGAAAGACCGTTTTTGGTGTTGTGTGAGAGACAACGGGGCTTTTATTTTATTTTTTAACCAACAACTTTGGATTGTGGTTTTCTCGTGTGTGTGTGTGTGTGTTTCTGTGAGGTAACTTTTGGCATCCCTGAGGAGTCTCTCTCCAAGGCCGCCGCTACTGCTGCTATGGCAGCGTCTGAGGGAAGAAGCCGCGTCTCTCTGGGGAGCGGGAGAAAAGGCGGCAGGAGGAGGGCTGCTCTGGAGGCGCTTTGCTTCCTTCTTTCTCTCTCCTTCTCAGCGCCTGCGAGTGAGTCCCTGGCAGGATGCCTCAGTGGCTGCTCAGCCTCCTGCTCTCTCCATTGCCGGGCCAGGGCCTCTCCCCCGCCGCCATGGCCCACCGCTTGCCCTGGGAGGAGAGCTCCGTCCAGGTAAAGAAGCCCCAGAGGAACCCCTTCCTTCCTTCCTTCCTTCCTTCCTTCCTTCCTTCCTTCCTTCCTTCCTTCCTTCCTTCCTTCCTTGCCTTTCAGCTGCTTCTTCCTGCGGACACCTGTACTAAACCAAATGACAGTACTTGCCCATAGGGAAACCATACTTGCCCATAGAGAATCACAGGGAAATAAATACTAGCATTCCCCAATGATTCTCTATGGACAAACAAATGACAGTACTTGCCCATAGGGAATCATAGGGAAATACTTGCCCATAGAAAATCATTGGAGAATGCTTTCCCATAGAGAATTATTTATTTATTTGACCATAGAGAATCACAGGGAAATAAATACTAGTATTCCCCTATGATTCTCTACAGACAAACAAATGACAATACTTGCCCATAGGGAGT